ACCCCCAGGATGATCAGACACCCCTGCACTGTGCGGCTCGAATGGGCAACAAGGAGCTTGTCAAGCTGCTCCTGGAGCACAAAGCTAGCCCAGACTCTTCTACAACTGCAGGGCACACACCTTTACACATTGCTGCACGGGAGGGGCACGTCCACACCATTCGAATATTATTAGATACTGGAGCACAGCAAGTCAAGATGACAAAGGTAGTGCTTCCATTTCTGCTCTATTTACATTACCTGTATTTTCTGCCGTACATGTCGTACCACCCTATAAGTTGCATCAGTCCAAATATGTCTAATTAAGTGGGAAAATCCATAAATATGTCGCTTCACAATATATGTTGCATCTATTATGTGTCACCGCTGACAACCTGGAAATATGGGCCGAACCAGAAAATGTGGGCCGGTGTTGTGCCAAAAATCAATTGGCTGCCAAAGGGTGGCCATGGGGGCATGCATGGAAGGACTTTAACAATAATTTAACAAGATTAACACTTAAAAACAATTATTTGTTTGCTCAAAATTATAGCAAAAATGTGTTTCTGCCCAACTTGTCCTTAATAAATGCACTTTGACGGTCAAATCAGCTGCATTTCAAAAGCCGATATGCGGAAACATGAAAGTGCAGAGGGCGACTCGCTGCATATTTCTTCAAAATTTAACAAGATAACCACCTAAATGCAATTAGTTGTTAACTTGACTTTATAGTAAAGGTGTGTCTCAGTTGAACTTTTACTTAATAAATGCACATCAATGGTCAAATTAGCTGCATTTCACCGGGGCGGCGCAACAGAATTAATAATTTCAATTAGAATGAATGAAAACGGTCATATCTCAGCCTAAAATAGGTTAAAAAATATAGGGAAAAATCCATAAATACATCACTTTTGTGGGATTCCTGGTTTCCCTCTGTCTGTTTGTGTCTGTTTGTGTCTGTTTGTCACTTTCCCTCCACAGCTAATCACCCAACTCATCACACCTGCCACCAATCTGAGGAGTACTGCTACTCACCCATTTAAGCAGCTGCCAGCCTCCTCTCCAGTGCTGGGACATCTTCTGACAATTGGACCTTCCACGGCCTGATTCATTCTGGTCCTCCTTAGGACTTCTCCCACCACTGGAACTCCTTCCTGTGGATCTTTGATGTCCTGTCTCCAGCAACGACGTCCACCTCTCTGTCTGGGTCAACCTCCTACTCTCTCCTGGATTCTCCTCACACCCAGGATCCCACTCTTTGCTCCTCCTCAACCATCTCCTGCAACAATAACAACTGTTCGAGTTTTTATCTCCACCTGTAAATAAATATCACTTACCTTTTTACCTGCCTCGTGTCCTTGCTTCCTTGGTCTGCTACATTGGGGGTCGACGTTGTATAAACCTGATA